CTAAAGAGTCCTTTTCATGGGAACCTGTAGAATATGTAAATTTGAACTTGAAGGAATGTCAAAATAGCTGGAACTGCGATATTGGTGTAACTGCAGGTGCTGACCCTCTTTTTCAGAAGGTAAGGAGTGGTCAGAATTAATTGAGTAGGCACATTCAACAGAATTAATTGAGTAGGTACAACGTTTTTCTGTTTCCTGAAAGCCCTAGTATGTGGGACAAAAAAATTATACAAAATATGGATATACAAATGTATTTCCAGGAGCAGCTGTTGAAGATACTGATCAGTATCTTGCTGTGTCCATTTTATAACATTTTTATAAAGAATGCAATGCTGTTAGACTCATGTAACCACATTTGGATTTAAACATATTGTGATATTTCTACAATTCATACTCAGCAGCAGCAGAATTCTCAGCTTCATAAAGATCCCCCCCTGCCTCTTTCAGTTAAAAATACAAGGTATAGGGGATATATTAAATCCCTTTCCTGTGTATTCTTTCAGCATTTTGGGGAAAAGGAACAATTTCTAGAACATGGGTGTAGGCCAAGTTTTGTGGGGTTTTTTTCCAGCTACTGACATATTTTTAAGATTTTTTTTTTTATCACTGGAATTAGCTTTTATTATTGCCTTTTCCCAATTATTAATAACTATTTCTCTATACTGATAGCATTCATTAGCTAACCAAGATCATTTTGGGCTAGTAAGCCACTAGATTTGTAAATGTAACTATTATGTTTCTAATAGCCTGAACCAAAACACAAAGGAACTTCATGCAAGTGAAAGGAAACATTTTGCATCCCTTCTCAATACCTTCTCCTTGGGCAGCAGAACATAGGGTTCCAGCTCTTAGTGTGTGCAAATTCATTTTCCTCTCCATGTGCAGTTTATTCCAACATAAGCACTCGACACAAGCAATAGTTGATTTTCTGTTTGTTTTTTTTTTTTTTCCTCTACAGTACTAGACACAAAAATATAAATGGTGAATAGGAGGAATAATTAGAAATTGATGAAACAATAATTGCCCTTGGTAGAAGTTTTCCTCTTTCTCTCTTATAAAGTCGTTACATTATTAGTGCAATTATTGTATAAAATCCAACACAGAGTGTGAGAAGAAAAAATAAATACAAACATAAAATTGGTACAAGTACCTTAACAAGTTTTGGAGCTTTCTTGCTCTGGCAAGAAGCTCAAGGCCTGAATGGCTTTGTACACTTTATTTATTAAAATACTCTGACAACAGATTAACTTCCTTTGTACATTATTTATTATTGTTTCACCTGCCATCAAGAAGAATAGCATGCAAACTGATGAATATACTTAAGGCGGCCTACTTTCAGTGTAGTGAAACCACAGATGCCTGTAATTCAACTTTTGCAATACTACTTCAAAAAATACACATTTTTGAACCCCTACAGAAAAATTACAGTAAGGAAATTATTGTCTGAGGAATTAAGGAGCTCATCTTTTTCTCGTGAATTGATAGTTGGCACTGCTCTTGGACTCAAATTGCCTGTTGCTTGCATGAGTGAGGTCTACAGTATGAATATGAAACTACAAAAGATGATCAATTTAGAGTATAAACCGATGGAGATATGAAACACTGATGGTATTTCTATTGGAAAGGTTTTCTATGCATTTTCCTTTTTAGCCTTGTTCATTAAAGATACAGGTCCTCCTTCTCAGACATTAATTTCTGCTACCTGGTTCTCTGGCTTTATGCGCCAAGTAGACGAGAAAAATTTTAAAAAAGTAATTATATAATGGGAGAAAGTGTCCACTGACCATAAGGATTCTGCCTTCATTCAGAAATTAGCAATACTTCTTAGAATTTTGAAAGATATAAGGTACACCCCTGCATTTGTAGTTATTCCAGAAGTCAAGTTACCGCCCAGGATTTGTCCTGAGAGTAGGCTTAGCTTTTCTCTTTTTTTTTTTTTTTTATATAACAGATAGATGTTTCACACTTTGTTTAAGTAAAAGCAAAATTAATAACCCGAGAGAAATCAAACTTTCCTCTTTACAAGCAAAGCAAAGAAATGAACATGAAATGCGACCCCTAAAAGTGATGACACTGCATCCCAGTAGTGGCAAATTTCTCCTGTCTGATCTAGAGCGTATTAGTCAATGTTTCAGATACCTTTTCACAATATATATGCTGCTTCATTTTCACACTTGCAAATTAATAACATTATTATAGAAAATTGCTAGCATGCTATTTGCTTCAGGTATCTGCCTCAATCTGTGTCCTTTTATTCCTGGATCTTTTTCATGTACATACTTGGAACTGTGATTCTTTTTTTTTTTAAATTTCTTTGGCAATTACTTTTCTTTCATGGCATTTATACCCTTTAAATATCATGTCAGGTGATACATCTATTGTGGTTGTCTTATGTATGTTGTATATTCAGCTTTTATACTGCTTTTTCTTTTCTTCTCAGAAATCAATCTGCCTGCTTTGCAATCATTTCAGTACTTCTCTCTCTGAACTATCTACCTAGAAAACCTTTCAGACCTGTCCATATATTTCAGGTGTTGAGATGCCTGGAATTTAGCACAGAATTCCTGATACTGATTACCTGATTGGTAAGAGCAATGCAGAGATTAAAGCTTCATTTCTGTATGACTTCATTCTTTAGTGCAAGCAGACAAAAAATCCCACTTTCCATTGTCCCTTGAGATCTGAACGAGATCATCTACAATTAACTGTCCACAATCACCCCAACATCTCTCTTACTATTAGCCCTTTTCAACTTTATCTTTTATATAGAGTATTGTGATTCAGATTAATTCTTTCATATATGAAGGGACTGAATCTTTCAGAAAGCCATATTTGTCATCTAACTTTGCTACGGTTTTAATAATTATTGCTCTTTATCTTTTTAGAAATACTGTTACACCATGCTGTTCCTTAAACCTTGAAAATATCACATACACATTGTAAGTATCATCCCCAAACCAGGCCCATTATGGAAAATATGGTAAAAACACAAAGTTGTCAATAATTTCCAACTCCATTACCTGCAGTCTATACATAAGATGGGCTAAAAGCCTTAAGAATCAAGCTGAGCTTGGTGTGTTGATCTTGGAGGGCTGCCAGACACCCATCTATCCACTCACACTTCTCTTTCTCAGCAGGATGGGAGAAAAAATAAAATGGAAAAGATCGTGGTTCAAGATAAAGACAGAGAGATTGCTTACCAAATACCATTATGGTAAGAACAGGTTCAGCTTGGGAAAACTTTTATTAATTAAAAGTAACTACATTTTCTTTAATTACCAAGTGAAGTAGATTTGGACCATGAGAAACAAATGCAAAAAATAAAACAACTACTTCCATCAATCCCTTTTTTCCCCAGGTTAAACTTCACTCCTTCATAACCTACTCTTCGATCTCCTCCCACCTCAAGAGTAAGGGGGTGGGGAAGGAAGCAGAGGTCTCCCCATAACAGCACCTCTCTGCTTCTTACATGTTCCCCCTGATTCTGTATCAGTCCTCTCCATGGGCTGCAGTTCCTCCAGGACATTGATCTCTTCTCTGTGGGGACCAGTGACAGGACCCAAGGGAAGGGCCTGAAGTTGTGTCAGAGGAGGTTTAGGCTGGATATTAAGAAAAAGTTCTTCATCCAGAGGGTGGTTGGGCACTGAAATGGACTCCCCAGGGAAGTGATCACAGCACCAAGCCTGACGGAGTTCAAGAAGTGTTCGGACAATACTCTCAGGCACATGTTGTGACTTTTGGGGATGGTTCTGTGCAGGGTCAGGGGTTGGACTCAGTGAACTTTGTGGGTCCCTTCCAACTCCACATATTCTGTGATTATGTGATTCTGTGACATATGTACATACTTAGCGTGGGGTCCCCCGTTGGCTTCAGGGGCATCTCTACTCCAGTACCTGGAGCACCTCCTCAGCCTCCTTCTGCCCTCACCTTGGTGCTCACAGGGTTGTTTCTTGTATTTTTTCCCCTCATTCCTCACTACCTGTTCCCTTCTTAAATATGCTTTCCCAGAAGTTCCACTGCCTTGACTGCAGTGCTCAGCCATGGTGGGTGCGTTGGAGCTGACTGGAATCAGCCATATCTGGCACAGGACAGTCCTGGCTGCTCCTCACAGATCCCACTACCAATGCAAACACCCAGTACCCTAAGAACCAGAGGTAGTCTAAAAATATGAACAGCATAATGTATTTTACAATGAGTAAAATATTAGAATCTGGAGATTTTTTTGGGGGGGTGTTTAATCAGAACATTAAACACAGACTGGAAACAGGAAGAGGAGCTAAAGCAAGATAGCAAGGGAGAAAAGAAATTAAAAAAAAAAATAAAAAGAAGAAAGATAATTGAGAGATTGTGATGGTCTGAGCAGAAAGGATTTAGACCAAAATGTTAATTGGTAAAAGAAAGGGCATTATACATCTACCTTCTTTAAGAAAAGAATGGTAAATTTCAACTCCAGGAGTGACTATTAGAGAAAGCAAGATGTGGCAAAGAAAACTGGTTTTCATTCTTAAATAGATCACCTATGAGCAAGTGCTTGCTGTAGTAACTAGAATAAATAACCTCCATTACAGAAATTTATCTTTTCCCTGCTGCTCTCCATCACAGTTGATAGATGTTCCCTTAGATTTCCCAGTCTTTTTAGCCTACACATAAAACCAGGTACTTTATTAAATTTCACTGGTTTGTTCTCTTTTAAAGATAAAAGTAAATACACTTTGCTAGTATCATTTATGTTAGTATGCCCATATGCTCATGAACCACCTAGGTGTTCCTTACAAATAAGACAAATGCGTCTCTAGGGAGTGTTCTCTGGGTAACCAGTGTGTAAGCTAAACAGAAAACTGTATTGCAACGTCTTCCAGGCATGATACTCCCTGTTTCCATAAGCATTTTTAGCAGTTTTTTTGCTGTTTGTTTATTTTATTTATTCTTCTTTCTTTGTCCTGCATTTCTTTCATTTGAAAGTCCTTCATTTGAACAAGACTTTCTCTCTGACAGCTATCCACTCCCTGGTTCCTTGTATGGGCAACCTGAAACAGGATTAATAGATGTTCAGACTCAGAATATGTTTTCTGGACTAGTTGATATTCCCAGCTCCTTAGAGGTAAGTGTTTCTTGGATAGAAATTCATATAGGAATATGAAGGTAGTGACAACAATATTATAAAGCTATTTAATGTCAGCAGTCAGGAGTACACATGCAAACTCACATTTTGAAAGATGAAATGTCTTACAGAGGGAATTTGACTCGGAAGCCTGGAGCAACACTCTTATTTCTGATCCCAGTTTTGTAAAAGTTATTTTGGGCTGTTTAATGATAAAGGCACTAGTATCATACCTAGATTTAAGTTGTTCTAATGGCTACAGAGAGAATAGTGACTTAATTGAACTATTTTTTTTTCTCTCTCAGTTCTTTATGGAGCAAACATCGCCTATTTCTTTTGACCCATGAGCTAATATAATACACACAATGATTATTCTATACTGGGCAATCTTAAAGTCATGACAAATTATTTTTTATCTCATTCTATCAATGAAAGAACTCAAGTATACATCATGGGAGTCATACATCCAAAGATATGCTGTAGGATAATAAGATATTGAGTCATATCTTAGGTATAATTATGAAAATAATAATTAAGGTCCATTGATTGCTCGTTTTCACCAGTTAAAACTAAAAAAAAAAATCAAACAAAACACACAACAAACAACCAAACAAACCAAACAAACAAAACCACTACAGTTATTTCATAATGCACTATCAGGTTTATTACATTTCTATATTTTCAAGAACTGAGATCACAGTAACAAACACATTTTTCTGGGGGAGTAAAAAGCTCAAGTCCACGAACTGGTAATGCATACCACAGTGCTGGAGGCTGTGTATATAGTTCTTTATGACATGGAGGATTAATGGTATTATTATTTATATTCAGTTATAGTAACTGTACATCAATATAATGGTAGGTAAGTAGCCATTGGCTTCTTCATCTTAAGCATTAAGGATGTTGTTTACTATCTCTCATTTTCGCAGTGTTGCTACGTAAAACAAATAGTGTAGGCAAAAAAGACATCTTGAAATATATACGTGTATTTTCAAAGCACGGCAGGGAGAAGGAAGGTCACTGAACAATATAATTGATGGCAGTAGCAAAATGTTTCCTAACCTGCAACATTACTAGGCTATGTTGATCACAAATGCCAAATCAGATCAAAGTATAGAAATGCAAGGTAACACCCTCTATTCTTTACATTGATTGCATCAAAGGAAATAGAATGTAAATTAGGAAAGCTTTGATGAATGGATAGGCAGCCAACAGAAGCACAATAAGGTGTTGGATTTCTCCTTCCTAGCAGAAGCATACACTGCATTACCCAGCTAATCAAAATATGCAGTGCATATTTCAGCAGATTGAAATCAAATGTAACATGAGATAGCCTTTTATTTTATTCATCTTGAATCTACTGAATGATTACTTTACCTTCTGCTGTTCAGCAACTTTCAGAATAATGCACAACTCAGTGGTCTTGCTTAATGCTCGTGTGTTGAATCTTTATTTAATGTATTTACCAGAGGCTGGTGGTGCAGAACACTGCAGCCTCATAGGCTACCTTGATGGATAAGCTTCCCCAGACAAAACTTTGATTTCTGTGTCATTTTTGCATTTCTGTCATGGAACACCATTGTTCATGTCCTTTCACGAAAGGCCAACAGGCTTCCCACATTGTAAAACAAGAATAAATTCTGTAAAAATTAAGGCCAAATTACTGGCAAGTGAGGTGCTGAATGAAATATAATTAATTAATGTTATCACTGTAAATCATGTTTACAACTTGTTGTGTAAATAACAGTTTATAACAAACATAAATATCAATACAAGAGACTTGGTTCAGCAGTGGCATAAGCTGTTGCTGATAGTCCACATACTAAAGTGTGGAAATTTTACAAGGTAAACATAAATCAGAAAAGAATTGTTTAACCACTAAGGCAATGTTTCAAGTGTCTAGGTTTAACAAAAGTCTAGGTTCAATGTGGCAACTTGACAGAACATAACCAACCGTAGTAACTCAATGACAGAGAAAAAAGTCAAAGGATATACAGCAAGTAATGAACTGTGATACTTTTCTAAACAAATATCTTAACAAACGTCTATCATGAGTCTCTTGAGTTGTACTCACGGGTCTCATACCCTCTTAAATTTACTCTTCCACTGCACACTACCCAATTAAGTCAGCTATCAAAATTCAGGGCTTCAAATTAAAATTCTAATTTGCTCTAATGAATTGAATAAAATCTCCCTAGAAAAAAATACGTCCCTATTATTTTAAAGAATAGCGTGCACAAGACCCAAACCTCTCTATGAAATCAATGTATTTTCTTGGGCAAGTATTGATTTCTGTCTGCCATTGAAGGAAATGTAATTATGCTTTTTTATATTAAAAAACCCACACACTGCCATATCTAGTTTAGTAAAAATTAAGATCCTTAGAAATATTCATGGTAAACATTTTATGCAAGTTCTCAATGTTTCTGGATCTCAAATGTGTTTGTTTGTTTTTAACTCAATATGGGGGGGGTTAACTCTGGCATGGTTAACCAGAAGTGTTTTGAAGGCATGGGTTTGTGTTTCAGAATGCAAAATTTCAGGGTTATTCAAAGCCAGTTCCCTGAAAAAACTTGTGAGTCTAGAGGAAGCTAGAGGAAGGCCAAATGCAAGGTCCCCAGAGAGAAGTTCTGCTGAAAAGCCTAGGAAAGAGATCCCCTACCCTTTACTTGGGAGTTGCTCCTAGAGGAGGCTTTGCTATTCAGCTTCCACTTCCGCTGTTTTGCTGTTGTGCTTGTGCCATGTTCAACCAGGTACCCTACTGCTCCAGATTGTGACCCTCATTCTCACAGCCCTATTTGGTCTTCCTGTGACTTTGTCTGACCCTGAGTTTGCTCACCAGACCTGATCTTGACCCCTACTCATGGGCCAGTGGCTCAGACTGTCCTCTGACTGTCCCTGTCCCCAGGGTGCCTGATGCCTGAGACTGGAACTGCCCCTGGTGCCCCTTGGCTGTCCTGCCTGGGGGGTCGAGTGCTGGCTGTCAGGTGCTGCCCTGATGCACCGCAGAGAGACCCTGCTGCCCCAGCTGCAGGGAAATCCTGACCCATGAGGCACTCTGGCAATTAGATACAAGAAAAACTTCTTCAGCAAGAAGGTACTTAAGCATCATTGCAGGTTTACTCTGCAGAGGCTTTAAAAATTCCATCTTCAGAGATATTTCAGAGCTCAAAAGGATAAACCTCTGAGCTAAGGACCAACCCACACTGCAGCCCAGAAGCTGACCATGATTTGACGGGGATGTTAGAAGAGATGATCTCTAACCAAACTGAAAAGTGGAAAAAAAATTATATACATAAATTAAAGAGAAAAGTCAAGATAACCACAATTTCTAGCATCTGGTTTTAAAAGGAGAGTCAAATCAGGTGATAATGCCCTAAGAGGTACACCCAGGAAGCAGCCACAGTTCTAACTTCAGTGAAACTGTAGTGCTTTAAGCACTGCAGTGTAGGAGTTGACTAAGTATTTGAATATAATTACTTATGTAACTACATCAGGTTACAAACCCCGGGGCAGGATGTTTTAAAATTATCCTTTGCTATACCTAAGTATTTTTGCAGATCTGAACCTTAATGACTACTATCATTCTAAAATAAAGCATAATTGTTAACACTAAGACTTAAAAAAGGCCTCCAGAAAGAAAATTTGCTCTATTTGAAATTGTAGATGATTCTTTGTGTGTTGAATATAAGATGCATGAATTAAATTGCTAAGTACTGAGGAAAAGAGAACAAAAAAAGCCTTAGTTGATAGCAGGCATCAAGCCCTGCTATCACAGATACCACATTTCATAATCTCAAGTTTCAAAACAGCTAAATTTTTTTATCCTAGTACTCTCAGAGAACAGATCCAAAATCTGAGTGCTCCTCTGGTCAGCAACATTAATCTAATTTTCTGCTCCTGTGCTAAAATGATTCTTTAGTTTAAAGAGCATTTCTTCATTCTCTGGATATTTGTAAACAAATCCATATTTCTTCTCAACTTTGCTTGGATAATCAAGCCAATCTCTTCCATTAAAAGGTAGGCTCTCCCAAACACTTTAGCAGCCCTTCTCCTTCCCAGCTTCAGTCTCAGTTTCCAGTACAGGAGGGGTGTTACCAGGGTCTTATACAACAGTAGCTGTATAAGAAAAAAACTTCCAATTTTTTCTAGTTTTTTGATTCAATTCAATATCAAATTTTGCATTTTTAGAATTGAATCCCCTCTGAAGTTCTAAGTAGTCCATAGATCATGTAGAACATCTGAATACAGCCCATTTGCCGTACGTGGGTGATGCTCACCAAGGTTAGAGCAAAACTTCCTATTGTGGATCATCAAGGGCCAGACCCAACATTTTGTGCTTTTTAGTTAGGTACCTTTTTTATTACTTCATTTATAATTTTTACTTTTTTTTTTTTTTTTTTTTTTTTTAGTGGGGAGTTGTTTGGTTGGGACTTTTTATTTGTTTTATGAAGTCTATAATCTTCTGCTTTGATAATAGCTTCCAATTTTCATGTTAGTATTTCATCTGCATAATATTGGGACACAAAAGCAAATATTCAATATGAAAGAGGTGAAAGGCGCTCTCCTTGGAGATATCTCCAGCTATTCTGTGTTTCAAAGCTTTACTGATCCCAGAAAGACTAGTTCAACACTCCAAGTTCTATTAGTTATCTGAACAGACAATCAGTTTTACCAAATCATCTATGGGTTACTTTCACTTGATGATTTAACATTGATAATCCATGCATAAGTTGCCTCAGCAGAGGTTAGGATCATATACAAGGAAAAAAGTCTTCACCAGAAGGGTTGTCAAGCATTGAAACAGGCTGACCAGGGAAGTTGTTGAATCACCATTTCTGGAGGTATTTAAAAGATGTGTAGTTGTGGCGCTTGAAGACACGGTTTAGTGGTGGACTTGGCAGTACTGCATTTAAAGGTTAGAGTATGATCTAAAATATCTTTTCCAACCTAAATGATTTTTATTTTCCTTTTCTTTTGTGCTACTCATTTTCATACCC